TGGAACATCAACAACTGAAACACCTGAAACACCAGGAACACCTGGAACACCAACAACTGAAACACCTGAAACACCAACAACTGAAACACCTGAAACACCTGGAACACATGGAACATCTTAAACACCTGGAACATCTGAAACACCTGGAACACCAACAACTGAAACACCTGGAACACCAACAACTGAAACACCTGAAACACCAACAACTGAAACACCTGAAACACCTGGAACATCAACACCTGAAACACCTGAAACACCAGGAACACCTGAAACACCAACAACTGAAACACCTGAAACACCTGGAACACATGGAACACCTGAAACACATGGAACACCTGAAACACCTGGAACACCTGAAACACATGGAACACCTGAAACACCTGGAACACATGGAACAACTTAAACACCTGGAACATCTGAAACACCTGAAACACCTGAAACACCTGGAACACCAACAACTGAAACACCTGGAACATCTGAAACACCTGGAACACATGGAACACCTTAAACACCTGGAACATCTGAAACACCTGGAACACCAACAACTGAAACACCTGATCCAACCTGTGTTTTTAGTATAATGATTCTGTAAAAAGATTCAAACGTCTAACCGTGTCAGACACCACTCTGCTCTGTTCCAGAACTTTATTTTTTGTTTTTAATCTCGTCTTTAACATTTATCAGCTCTGATTCATGGAAAATGGTTTTTTTTTATTAAAATGCAGATTTTKGTTTAAAAACTTGATATATTTAATAAAACCAGAATAACTCAACATGTAAACTGCAGGTGACCTGTGTCCTGCTGAGACTGCTCCAGGTTTTAGCCTGAACCATGTCTCAGTAAATATTCAGTACCATGGACAAGGATTTACCAGTACTTTAAATAATACTGGACATTCTCAGGTTGTCTGATGAGACCAGGAAGTAGTTCTGATGAAACCAGGAAGTAGACGGTGCCTGCTTGTTTTCCCACTCCAGAGCTCAGAGGTGTTTCTACCTGAGAACAACAACCAGGTGTTTGAAACTGATCAGTGAAATCATTTAAAAACTGAGAAGTTCTGAACAGGTCCAGTGTTTCAGGTACAAGCACCTCTGCAGACCCATGTACCAAACATCTGTTTGCAGGTGAGAAAATCTGAGGTCTGCAGACAACGTGCTGCTGAGCAAGGCACTCCAACAGTAAAAGTGTAAAGAGCAGTGAAAATGACGACGAGGATTCAGAGCAGTTTGAGTTTTTATTTACAGATTTGAAACAGGAGAAAAACATTTTTTACACTTCAGAGTCTCTGATCTGCAAACAGACGGGAAAGAGTCCAACAGCTCAAAGTAACATCAGAGAGGGAAAACCCTTCATCATCATCATCATCATCATCATCATCATCAGTCTGTCTAACAGTCAGTGTGTCCTACCTGTCCACCTGTCCAGAGGTTCTGGGTTTCCAAACAGATCGAGTGACACATCTGTCCTCTTAAAAAGTTTCTGAATGAGTGAGACATCTGTCTGAATAAAACATCTTTGAGCTCGTCACCAATCAGATCGATTAGTGATTGTTAGATCAGACGTTACTGATGGACCTGAGCACCTGGGACAGCTGAGACTGACCTCTGACCCTGTTTGGGACCCCAGCCTCAGTTTGGACAACACTTAGTTTCACAGTTTTTCTTTCTGAAATTTAAAAACAAATAAAAGTTTTCAGTCAGAGCGTTCCCTTACAGAACCCAACAGGAAGTGATGTCACACCATCAGAACAGAAACAAACTGTTTTCATCAATAACCTTTAACATCAGTGCAAACAGGTGCGGTTAGTGTTGTTCAGGTGTGATGTCATCAGGTCAGCGCCATGATTAACCTGCACCTGATGACATCACACTTTACGTTAGTTTGAAATGTGACACCAAAGACAAGAGAAGCTCCGCCCCCTGCCATCTAAACACTGACATGTAACTCCAGAGCTGCCCCGCCCTCCTCTGCGTCTCCTCCCAGCTCCTAAAAGGGGTGTGTCATGTAGAAAAGGGGCGGGGCCGCAGCGATGCTACGTTTCAAACTGCGTTAGCAGAGCGCGGACCTCGGGTGTCAGCTGCTTGGCGGCGCTGGCGGCCTCAGCTATAGCGCGGCGGTACGGGCCCTTCCTCTTCTTATCGAAGCGCGACTGGAAGGTCTCGAGGAACGGCGAGAGCTGCGGGAGCGGCAGGAAGGAGGTGGTGGGCGAGCCGAACCAGGACACGCGGGCCTCCTGCCGCACCGCCAGGCCCGTGTCGCCACGGCGGGCCACCGTGATGCCCAGCACGCGCGCCGGCCACCACGGGAAGCCGTAGATCTTSGCCCAGACGATATCGCCCACGCAGACCGTGCGGCCGTCCGGCAGAAGACACTTGGACACGGACTTGGAGAAGACGGACGAAGACGACGAGGACAACTTCCGATGGCGCTTCACCTCGCCTCCTCCCTCCTCGTTCTCGCCGTTTGCTGTGGGCTGAGCGGGGCAGGGAGGCGATAAGGAGGAGGAGGGGGGTGAGGGGGGTAAGGG